TCATTCTTAGTATTACAGGGTGTACAAGTTACAAGCGCCGACTCTAAGCCGCGGTATAGTTATGATGTCATACCAGCTTAGAAGAAAACGTCAATGTCCTTTTTACCTCAATATGTTCTGCAATCTTCGTCGTACTTCATTGTACATTTACGGTATGGTTTAGCGCTTAATAGTTACCATCTTCTAAAAAGAATAGGGGGGGGGGGGGGAGTCCGGACAAAACTACAGGTGGAACGGTTCACTATATATGTTGCTGTTGGTTGCAGTTTTCTAAATTGGCGTAATACGTCCAGGAATTCTCTCTATAACACTCGTACGCATAACGTTCTGCCATAGCGCGGATTGAATATATCACTCGGCACTTATTCTATGTAGTTCATAATTAAAGTTAATTATATATTCGTAAATGCTGCGATGTGGCTGTAACCATTCCTTTCCCCCTTCGGCGCACGCCCCACCCCCTACAAACACAAGTGCATGGGCGCGCTTTCTTCTTCCAATTATTGTCTACACCGCAATCTTTCAACATTAAGTTGTCTTAATGCTCTCCAACCTAAACTTACAGAAGTATAGGAAATTCGGGCCACGGATAGCAATAACGTCCTTTTCTTTTTAGGTTGCGAAATCACAGAAGATAAAGAGAAGAGAAAACAGAAGAAAAGAAACTTTCTTGTCAGCATACATGACTGCCAAGCGCTTCTTAAGACAAACAACGCAAAGCCACAGTGATAATCTGCAGCTAAAGCAAATACATTCCACATCACAGTACACGAGGTCACCACCGCTTCAAGACCCGTGCGTGCGACATAATACAATGCCTTATCATTACTGCACTTCACATACCTAATTGTCAGCGGTGCTTGCACTGATCTTTCTGAATGGCTGCATTTTGAGTCTTCTACACATGATGTCATTTCACGCTAAGAACCCCGCCATGAAGTTTTTTGCGAGCTCAATGTGCTTCGAATTTAGAACATTTGAGCTCGATCCGCTGACCACAACGAAAATATAATAAAAAGTATTTAACTTCTGTTTCCTATGCCATCTTCTTTTTCATTTATCTTTTAGGATTCTAAAATCAGTCTTACGTTCGTGATAGCAAAGTGTGAAGGTATGTACATATGCATCATCATTTCACTATTTCACTCTAATGCGCAACAGATCATCTCTGCAGGCAAGCCCGCAGCAGTTCCTACTAATTTTCAAAATCACTTACTTAAGTATATGGTAACTAATTCAAGTGACCTGCAATGCTGTGTATACTGCAAAGATTTTTGCCGGCATTCACTGTCAGGCTTACGCCTTCTACAGCACCACTAAATCTATTAAAACGGCTACAAAAATTTGCATAATTTTAACATATGAAGTCAAAGCTAGAATAACGGGCAAGAAACTTCTGTAGCCCGTTCAGCTTATCACACACAGAGCACCATCGCATATTGACGTGTTCAGAACAAGCTGGCTTTGTACCGAGCGCTGCACCAATCTATAGTGCAAGTGTTATTATTGCAAGTTTCGTTATTGTTGGTTGCATCCTTCTCATTATAAAAACCGCGCGAAACAGCAATGTCATTTGTATGCTGCAGTGAACAACCCATCTACTAGTCTGGAGATGAGGAAAGAAAGGAAAGAGAACACACAGAATGCGTTGGTGGTTATTCCCTGTTTTACTTCGCAAGCAAATTAGCAAAAGAAAAGAAAAAGAAATCGATCCAAGTACATTTCCGTGCTGTCAAGGTTTTGTACGCGTGCTCGAATCCCGCACCTTTGACTCACATTGCAGCAAGTAGGCATAGCTGGGCAACACACGTGTTACTCCGGTGCATCGTCAGAACACCTGTTTTTTTTTCTTCCGGTAGACTTAATTGATAATCAACCAAAACACAGCGAATACAGCCGTTGTTATGAATAGTAACGCATCTAGTCCAATAGAGAGCCAATAAAAGCAGTCTAGTAGCGCTCATGCTGGATTTACAGAGCTTGCGTCTTCCTGCATAGGGCTGACTACCGCCACGTGGTCTTTGTTATCTGCGCACAAAGTACACTTTTCGCGCGCGCGGAACAAAGACGGTTTGACACACAAAAGGAGTTTACAGCTGCAAGCTACGCCATTGTTTTGCTTTATGATTTTGTTTTAACTCTCGAACGGCACTGTACATTTCACTTCACACACTTGTGGTCACAGAGCTGTTTTTCTCGTTGCCACATAGAGACGAGAAATGTAATCCTCACAACTGCTTTGTGGCACCGCCACAGATCTCCGGTTCAAACACCTGCTCTACATCGCTCAGGAAACCGAAGCGTCCTTTGTTCCGCGGCGTCCTGCCGACTCTAGGATAATCTGTGCGCATCAGCGCATCTGTATATACCGCCTTATCAGATGTAGGACGAAGTTGCGTTTTCTGCAAATTAGACAACATTGACTACATCCAAAAATTTTTTTTTCTTTAATCACCGGAAAGGTCACGAGAGGTCTGGTATACTGCCACGCAACTAAAGGAAGCACCCCACGACAGCCAATACAATGATCAAGTTCGATGCTGCACCCTCCGATTTATTTCACAAGCTTTCATACATGGCCTGCTTTCGTTTCTGGGTATATAATAACTATTGTCAACAATGATACAAGAAAACCTCATTTGCGACATCTCGACTATAAGGATAGTTATAAGTGCATAACATGCAAGAAAAATTTCCCGTGTCTTTTCAAGGAATATTGACAGGAAAAGACTGCCGGAGACAATTTGTACACGCGATATATCTGAGACACAATTCTTAAAGCTCAAGATGATTTTAAGGCGCAAAATCACGTCCCAAGATAATGCTGTTCTTAAGCTCATAAAGTTTCATGTGTGTTTAGTTCGCATTGAGCCCAATCGTACACGCGTTAAGCATAAGGATATATTCCTTCTTTTTTTTTTTTGCAAGAAAGAAACTTTGAAAGTGTATATTGCTCCCATTACCATCTTGCATCGAAAGGAACTTGCTGTCAAGGTTTCGTGCTCTGAAAAGCGTCGCAAGGATACCAATTTTTAACCACATGCTATAGTTTTACACCAATATTTATTTGGGAGAGTATATATTTCATTGGTACCACTAGTTTGCTTCTCGCGTGGCCTCCAGAATTCTCTTTGTGTTCGTGCGTACAAGTCCGAACATTTGTCCCCACGTACAGCTACTACTATGGCTTTGCATAAGGCGCTGAACTTCTTTACGTTAACGTGTTACCGGATACCGGTTTGCGTCTACCGTCTTACCGAAACGCATGTCTTTCAACGTTTTAGCTCCTCATACGTAAACTTTTACGTACATACGTAAACGCGTATACCTTTACGTTTTTCGCAAACCATAAATGGTGATGCTAACTGCATTTACCTTCCATAGGAATCACCGCTGCGGCAAAACCGTGAGAGTGTTTATTTATCGTGTACAGTATCCTCGTATGCGCAAAAGAGTGAGAAATACAAGGTTGCTGCAACGTTGGTGTCGACATCTTGTGACACTTATGCAGCCACAGTCATGAACACGCTGGCTTGCGCGTTATGTTTTTGAGGTGAAATTTATTAAAAAGGTAACTCATTCGTAATAAATCCACTGCGCAGTCTTTGCACCAGACGTGCAATGCACGATGTTTCAGGAATAACAATATTGTGTTTACCTGGTTCATTCTGATCCCGCTCGATGGCGCCACCAAACAGCTTGTAGGGGGCTCGCACGTTTATGACGTCTATGTTATAGGCCTTTCTAGCTTTCCCGCTCAAAAAATGCAATCGCCATTGGCGCTCGCACTTCGGCTTATTTGAACTCAACGATCGAGAGAAACGTAAAACCTATCCGGCTGGTAGTTTACGTTACATGAAGGTCTACGTTCAGTAAAGACCCGCGCAAGCGTAGATTCTATCCGGTAACACAGCAACGTAAAGAAGTATACATACAAGCTAAAAGCCCCTCGTATACGGTCTCCTTGCCATTGGCCTCACGGCTGCGCTAATATGCGTCTGACGAGGATTGGCTGAAATTCCATCTAGCCAACGGTGCGTGCCCTACCTGAACGAGCTCCCGCTTGAACTCAAACGAAAGTGCCAAAGAACAATCAAAAAGAGAAACGGGAGATAAAGAGCAGAGAGGGGCAGACCTTTCCATGCTCCCCTATTATTGGACTTATCGGAGAGCCCTCTTATCAGTGTCGCGATACGAGGTAGGTCGCCCCCGTGAGCATCGCGTCCAGCTTTCGAGCGCCGGCGTGCGTGTCTGCGCCCGCCGCGCGGCTTTTCGCTGCGGGCAGTACGCAGAGGGCCATGTCTTCGACGAACCGGGCGGCGTGTTCATTCAGGTATAGTCAACGTGTTTGGTCCTTTACAGGGCTGCGCAAGTGGGAAATGCTAAAGACAGACGCCACGAATGCTGCACCGAAAGGTCATCCCTCATCTTTGTCGGGAAGAATGCGTTAGGAACAATAACAAGAGCGAGAGAAAAAAAAAAAGAGAGAATACTCGTGACATTTGAGCGGATGTTCTCAAAAGGGCGCACATGTATCTGCGTGAGCTAGTGTGTGCTAGTAACGGAGGGATGAGAAAAAAAAAAGGCGGGCTGGCGGGCAGTGGCCCTCTGCGAGATCGACGTGGCGCGGCGCACATGTTGGAGCCACCTGCGGTGCATGAGTCGTGCCGTAAATAATGAGGGCGGAGAATGTGCAACATCCGTGCCACGTTCTATACACGCGTAGAAAGAGACGCACGCGACGGCGAAACGTAGGAATTGCGCGAGACACGTTGCAACGAACAACGTTCCTGAGCTCTGGCTGTGGAACGTTGTTCGCTGCGACCGCTGGGCTTCTCCAGGGCCACACCGGGGGCAGGGTCGCGGCGAAGTCTTGCTCAAGCGACGATCCCTCGTGCGAAAGCCACGGTGCCACGTACACACCACGGCATGGTCAAGGAAAGCGGTCCGGAATGCCCGCGAGGTTTCGGGGTGCACGTGGCTGCGATGGGTCCGCCTACCTTGTTGTTGGCCAGGTCGACGACCAGCCAGGAGAAGACCACCGTGTCTTGCTCGTCGCTGCCGAGCGCGTCTCCCTGTTGGCCGGCCGTGACCAGGTGCACGACCACGGCGAACCTCGTGGCGGCCATGTTGTGCTCGGGGTCCCCGTTGATCGGAGGAATCGGTGGCCCGGCTCAGCAGCGGCCGCCCGGGTTGCGGGGCCACGCGCTGGCCGGCATGGTCCGACTGTGCAGCAGCTGCCGGCGGGAGTGTGCGCGTTCAGGAAGGAAGTCTGCCGTCGTCGGCCCTTGTGTGCGTGTTGGCTTGGTGCAGTTGTGCAGATTTGCGGCGACGTAGGAAGAAAGTTAGCCCCCCGAGGAAAGACCAAGCCCCAAAGCAAAACACCCGGCAAAAAGTCCAATAACCGCCACCACCACCAAGGAGACAACACCAGCCCCGCTAGAAGGACTGTGCCGGCTCCTCGCCGCGGGGGGCTGCGCAGGCGCTGCAGTCGCGGCCCCCTCGCCACAGGTGAACAACATGGGGAGAGTGAGGGACGCGCTATTGGAGGGCCGCCTACAGGTGCCTCTCCCCCCGATTGTGACGTCGACGCGCCGGCTGCAACAGGTGGAACGGGCTGCTGCACCGCCCGAAGGAGAGGGACACGCGCGCGCGCTCGCGCTCCCAGGAAAAAAAAAAGAACGCTGGTCGAAAAAGAATACGAGCAGACAACGTGGCCTCTGCTGGCGCTCGCTTTGTCCCGCGACCTGCGCCTTTTCTTGCTCGCGGCGGCCAGCGCAACTTCGCCAGTCGCGTTGTCGTTTGCCTTGTCCCGAGAAGGGACCCCGAGTTTCCTTCCGAGTCAAAACGAGAAGCGCCGCGGCGACCTTTCCTGCTTTATTCTCGGGGCAACATTTTGCGCCCCGCAGACTGGCCCTTATCTCATCGTTGTTCGAATACTGCGTGCGGGAAATCCCATCGTTCGCGATCCATCAGAAACGAATTTGGTGGTGATGGCGGTGGTGGTTACAAGAAGGAAAAAAAAAACACCTAATTTTTGACAGTCATAAGGTAAGACGGCACAGTGCCTGAAAAAAAAAAAACGTCTTTGTAAATCACGCCCTGTTAGTTGGCACTTTATTCTAGCCTTCTTCATGTCGATCGACATGACACGCACGCGGGAATCGAGTTGTTCCTGCAATCTTGGAGAACGCATGCAAACCTTTTCCGCCTCTCACTGCTCGTCCCTCAGGAAGCGTGATCGCGACTGGGCGCAGCGCGGGGACGAGCCCGGGGTAAGTAACCTCGTCCGGTTGTGTCCAGTGTGTTATTTTTCTTTTATTCCGCATCTTTCCTCTTCACCACGTAATACGCGAAATCACGTCCCAACATAAATACGTCTGCGCAGATACCGTCCCTGCAACGTCAACGAAATGGGCACAAGCAATGATAAGCTCGACGGCCAACAAGTAAGAAAAAACTGAAGAGAAGCGCTCCTCGCTGTTCCCGTAGGAAAGGAGAAAGACAAAAAAAAAAAAAACTCACTCGACGGGACTGGTCAGCGAGCCGACAAGATTCGGGACCAAAAAGAAGTCGCCTAAACGGCGCTGTCTGTGGGAAAGAGAAAAAAATAGCAAAAAGCACGCAACCTAGGGAGATGAAGAAACAGGTTTCTCCTCTCCCGAGAAGGCCTCTCCCCGCCAAGGGCCGAGCATCCTGATGCGCTGCCGTTAATAAGAACAAGTCCGGCATCGCGATGTCTTGTGGAGATGCGCCTCCAGGGGCCGTTCTCTCTCCCGGGCTCGCTCCGTTAAGACAAAGGAGCCCCTCGCGCGCGGAAGTTTACGGGTGCGCGCTGGCCGCCTAAGCTACACGCCAAGCGCAGCAGGCCACGCCTTCGCCGGGGCTACGCAAGTGACGCCGGCCAAGAACCGATAGCTGGTGGTCTTGCTGGTTGTTGTAACTGGGAAGGATCTTCCTCGCTCCCTTTTGCAGCTCTCCTGATGATTGTCTCTGGTCGGAAACTAGAAGGAGAGCGCTGGCCGTGATTCGCGTTAGAAAAGAAAAAAAAAATTGGTGAGCGCACACACACCGACACAAGAACGAAAAACGCAGATCATGAATGCCTCATGCGATTATATATACCTTTACTTTGCATAAAATATTGACGGTATTTAGTTAAGGTATTTCATTTCAGAACTAATATTCAGGTACGCCCAAGTTTTGCGCATCACCCTAGTCTCTCAATAGCTGTAGTATCACCAAGAGCTATTGAGATATTTCATCTGGATGCTAACCAATGCATCGATGCCAACTCCGAGGAGCATACCTTAAAGCGCATAAAGAAATAAATAGGAAAAAAGAAGGCAGAACATTGTACACTTGCCCAAAAATCTGTAGGACGTAGGATCCTGTGTCGATACAGCCCCAGTCGAACTTAATTATTTGTGACCATTAAGTCGGGCATCTGGAGATGACAGAGAGCTAGAATAGACGCACCGGAATCGCATACGTCCCAAAATATGCCCCCCCCCCCCCTCCCCACGCTCTAACTTTTCATCACCGCTGAAAAGGCATGAAACAGTGCCTTGGACAGGGTGAAGTGAAGAATCACAGGCTCTTCGTCCAGCCTGAAGAACAGTTCTAGTTTTTTTTTTCCCTTCAAAATCACGCGTATTTTCATTCGTGAGAAGTGCTTCTCAGCGATTGGCCGACCGCATTCGCTCCCGGTATGTTCGGCTTCGTGACCGGCTGGAATTCACCCGTACGAATAATGCTCGCGTGAGTGCTTGATCGTAACAGGTTGGTCTCTTCTGGACACATGAGAAACGGGACGAAGAACTCACGTATCAGGGTGCATAGCGTTCGGTCCACCACATTACGCACAGTGCAGGGGACGGAGAGCAGACGCCCCGCGGGAGTTCAAGTGTGGGCACGCCCCCTCGCTTCGATGCGCTCCTGTCGAAGGCACAGTGAACAATCCCATTTCTGGCTCCCCTTTGTTTTTGAGTTATATTAATTTATTTACATATACTTAATATTAATATAAACAGAAAGCTTATAACCATGCTTTTAAAACAAACTGATATGAACGTGCAGTGCACGCATTCATGCACGAAAATGTCTGTGGGGCAGCCTTGTTTGGTCTAATGCTAAAAAGAAGACGCACAGGTCAACTCGCACATGAAATAAGAGAGACGCACAGCACCCGACCATCCCAAGTGCTGGCAGCTTCGTAAGTAAGTTTGGAGCTCGACAAAGTGCTAACGTTGCTTTGATCGGTCGAAATCAGTGAGTCGAACTGCTCGATTTACAAATGCACCGAAATGTGTGGCATTCTCTTGCAGCACGCAGTGTTGCCGCGGGACGCGCCCCATGAGCATGTTCTCCGAGGGTGTGGGCGTGCCCCCAGCGGCCCCCGATAGGTCGCGCCACTTGCGCGCACCGCCGCTGATGCCGACGTGCGTAAGATATTTCAATAGCAACATTTCGCAGCGGCCCACCATGACCCGTCCAACTGGTTTCCGATTTTGGCGTCCCCACAGAGCAGCCACGCCACGCGACTCCGACGCGATGGGGTGAAGCCAGCCGCCGGGTGTTTCGAGCTCGCTTCGAGTTCTTCGTGTGCCAACCACGCGATGCTTGTACTCAGTGCAGAGCGCATTGCTGGTCTTGGAAGCGCCCTTGGAAGTGTATAAAATTATAAAGTATTTGGAAAAAGAACACAGCTCTTTTCTTCTTGCCTCATTTGTCTCACGCTGACGCACTTTTGAGGTTGATCTCGAAAAGAAGAAGTTCATTAAGGAACGTTGACACGAAGAGAAACAGCAGAAAGGGAAACATAATTTGCAAGGTACGCTCAGTTTTAAACGTCAGACGTGCGAAATTAGAACATATTGTAAAATATTCGCTCAAATGAGAAAGTTCGGAGCACCACGTCGCGTTTATTGCGTTGATAGATATTTTTTTAGTAAAAAAAATACGGCTAACTTGCATGCATCGTTCCGTCGACAGCCCACGTTTTATTCGACTCCCCGCGAGATTCCTCTATGCCAGCTACTGGTTCAGGCGGTAAGCAATCGGAACATATATGGCTGGTTTCCGGGCATGATGCTCGGCGATAACCGAATGAAGCTCTAGTTGAAAAGATAATGACTGAACTTTACAAGACACACAGTCAGATGACAGCACGCTAAGTGACGGCAAAGATGCAGAGGAAACGAAGACAGTAGTCTGGTCTAGCGGGACCAGTCGAAAAAAGCGCTGCGTGATACGTCCTTGTCATATTTTCCCCGCCGCCCGAGGACGACCCTCCTTTCCAGGACTAGGAAAGTCGTCCATCGGACAATTCAATAAAGTCTTTTCTCTCTCTGTCTCAGCTAGCAAAGTACGCGCAATAACAAAAAAAAAGAATAATCGTCTCCTTCATTATTTGTTGCAAAATACTCCATTACATTTCGTCCGCTCTCATTCGTGCTCAGAAAAACCGAGTGAGGCAGATTTATGTCACCTAGCGCACGCATCTTTACCATGATCGTGCAGTTGGGGCACAAAGCCAAAATCAGGCATACAGGTGTACTCAGCCCGATCGCGAGGCAAGAGACCGAATCATACAGGGTACGCAACTCATACAGGGTATCATCCAGGGCATACAGGGCATACAGGGTATCATCCAGGGCATCCAGGGCATACAGGGTATCATACAGGGCAATCATACAGGGTACGCAACAATCATACAGGGTACGCAACTGTTCCAGTAAGTCCAAATAGCCGCCCTCTGGACAAGAACAAAATATTGCTTAAACTGCGACGATGCCACAGCCGTCTCGCGTCGTATATGGTGCATGCATCGGTGGTGATGACGATGTTGCCTCACACGGGGTTAGCCTAATAATAATGGCGTGTGAGGTTTACCGTACCAAAAATATATGATTTTGAGGCACGCCTTAGGGAAGAGCTCCCGGAATAGCGATCATGTGACGCCCTGGCATTGCAGAGTGCACAGTCGTCTATAGCATTACGCTTCGATCGAAATGCCACCGCCGGGGCCGGAGTAGAACTCGCAATCTGGACGCTAATGCCCCACCTGAGCGATTTTCCTCAATACAGTGTACCTCACCATGCACCGGTTAATCTTCTCTCTCTCGCAGACAACGTAACATAATTACGACCTCTTCCTTACGAATCATCCGCGCACCCTTCCGGAAACACAATCTTTTAACAGCGTTCGTGTGGAAACCCTTATTTTCTTCATGTTGCCCTTTTACTGAAGACAGCTGCGGTTTTTCAAGAATTCCATTTACTGTACCCCGTGTCGATCATTAAAAAGAACTCGTGCTTGTAGGTGGTGAAACTCTTTATATATATATATATATATATATATATATATATATATATATATATATATATATATATATATATATATATATATATATATATATATATATATATATATATATATATATATATATATATATATATATATATAT